ATCCAATTTATGGACTGACACGTAACACTCTGGTTTCCGCCGACAAACGGAACGTGTAGCAACTGACTACCGCTTTTCTCCTCTAAGTCGAACCGTATCCTGTCATCATTCGGAGGCTAAATTGTTATTTCCAGAAATGGTTTGAGCCTTAGCTTGATAAATTTATGCAGCGAATATTTTTTGACAGACCCGCGCAATGACGATGTCAGTTCCGCCTGTTTAATCGTACCAATAGGAGCCGCAGAAACCCAAACATCGCCTCGTCATTGGTAGAGCCTTTTTTGTTTACAGCGAAAAGGTCTGTGATTGGCCATAAGAAGCTGTCAATCAGTGCCTCCTCGAATGAGGCTTATTCGATTTATAAAACCGTTTTGTCCCGTTGGCACGAATGAATATGCTGCTTGGGTATTTCACGGAAATAGAAGGCATTCATTTCGTAATGCAGGGTGTAATACGAATTGTAAATTTATCAGCGTATTTATTATATGACTTGTGTTAAACTACAAGAAACCTTCCAATAGCATAAATAATCCAACCTTGTCGAGATGCAAATAACAAACCCAAACCCAATACAAACAAAGTTTAGTAGATATCAAATGGTACAAATCCAGTTGAAAGGGTAAAATGTTTATGAAATTATTGTAATTTGTCAAAAGAAATAATTTTATCATTTTAACTTTTATCTGTCATCTCTTATCTCTTTTACCTCTTATTTTGGCTTTACTGTCTTTTTAGCTTTTGTTATACTTGTGCTCTTTTCTTAATTCACCTTTTAGGCCTTTTATTGTTTATCTGTTGCTCTATTTTATCATTACTGTTATTATCAGTATTACCTGTTATTATTTTATTATCATTGTTGATATTGCCTTTTATATTTACTATCCTGTTTCCACTTTCGATCCCCCTTTTAATTGCATTTTCTTTTTTCTTAACTATTTTATGTTTCTTTTTTTTTTTTTTTTTTTTTTTTTTGGTCTCCATAATCTCATTTTATGTTGCAAGGTTCTTGTATTGTCTGGGTTCCTTATGACATGAAAATGGCCTTCAATTCCATTTTAACTGAGCTTTTTGTTTTTATCTGTCTTTCTTGAAATTTCCAGAATCCATTAATCGGACTGTGTAGAGTTGAGGAGACATTTCGCCGCTTATCCAAGACGCTTCTTCAGTTCAAAGAAGAACTAAGTTTTTATCTGTCTTTTTCCATGTGCTAAATGACTATATGTCAAAGCACTTTGTAAACTTCTGTTTTTAAAAGTACTATCAAAATAAAGTTATTATTATTATTATTATTATTATTATTATTATTATTATTATTATTATTATTATTATTATTATTATTATCATTATTATTATTATTATTATTATTATTATTATTATTATTATTATTATTATTATTATTGTTATTATTATTAATAATATGGACCATTTTTTAATGTTAATAATGATTACATGTCAATATGTGGATTTATTTATTCCGGATCATTACTGCCTAATCTCGACGAGCCTTTTCCTCTATACAGGATTTCATGTAAAAATTTAAGAGAGTACATTCTAATGTTGTCCTCCTTTTTTAAGCCAGGTTTTACATTGAAAGTCCTTCACACTGTTGGTTTTCAGCTTTGTTTGACAACTGAAAAGGCCCAAAGCAACATACAGTACAAAAATCCAAAACACCTTGAATGATGCAAGCATCAATGAGCTGACCTGATGCAATGAGAAGAAACTTTAGTGAGATCCCTCTGAAGTGCTCTACCAAACACCTGATTTGCTCCCCAAAGACAAAATATATGAAATGGATCTTCAATGTAAAGCTAAACCTGTATGAAACATTTAAAGTAGGTAACAGACTGAATGGAGTATTTACTGATGGCTATATCAGAGTAACTCCTTTTGGTGAATGATGTAACCTTATTTAGGGCTGATGTTGTTGTTCCTCTTAAGGACAATGAAGTTTACGTAACCCAATGATAGGATATAAAGCTGAAAGTAGTACTAACCTTCCATGGCCTTTGTGCTTTTAGAAAGCTGGGAGCATGCCAGTCCCTTCTAGTACCAGGGCACACATGTCAGATGATAATTAGACATGTGTATCCAAATGACAGTTACAGCTTTAACAACAGTTGGTTTTGATTTTGGATGATACAGTCCCCAGAAAAAGAGGTCCACTGCGTATGCTTTGTAACAGGCAACCACCAATGGACCACATCCAGCTGACCTTGAGCAAGAGTAATTGCTTGAAAGTTTTATCTTTAAGGATTAGGCTTTTGCAGGTGGGAAAGTGATTTAGTATAATTATGTTTCCATTTAAAATGTAAATATACAAAATGCATCAGGAATAAGTATGACTCATGCCAACATACAAATGGTAATATATAAAAGCATTGCTTGCAGTAGTGAATTGCCATATAACAGATAAGGAATGCACATTTGAATTTCAATAGTTGTGTTTTTAATAGTTTTCAAGGCAAACTTGGAGTAAAATGTCATTACTGAATAACAGTCTGAGTTATGAAATCATTTTTTTTTCCTGTCAGCCTTCTGAAATCTTGTTCTCTTTACAAACCTTTATTTCTCAAGTCTCTTGACGGCCTTCTGCATGGCCCCCAGCTTTGAATCCAATCTTGTCATCAAGCCAAATATAAGCCTTGTAGCATGCTAATCCCCACAGACAATCAAATACTGTAGCTTCCCTTGAAAATCGCTCGAAGAATCACCACGGGGATACACAAACAAACCCCCTACGGCAAAACAATAGAAATTCAAATGTTCTTTTATTGATAATGACATTTAAAAGACCACATCGAGAGAAACCATGAACACTTTTTTTTCACATTTGATTTGAATAAATATTTTCAAACAGCTTTGCAATGGCATAGATGGATTTGAAAGGATATATCAGTAGCCTGTTGTTGAAATCATCCTCTGAGGGAATAACCAGAACATTTCCTATTGACCTGTTGTTAACTCCGTCTGATAGTAACTCAATCCCTTTATAAGAACACAATTTTTACTTAAACACATATTTTAAAAACAAAACAAGAGGGTTTTTTTCATGTATTTTTTACATGCATATATTTAACCATGTAGAAGTGATGGCATTATTAATACAATTTGACAGGGTATCAAAGTCCAACATAGCATGAGATTAGGGTAACAGTGAGATGTAAAATAGTACCTGTTTTGTGCAGTTGACAGTAATATGAAAACTTCTTAAAAACTTTGAGCTAGAAAATTATTCTCTTAAAAATCAAGACTAGAATAGAATAGAATAGTTATTCTCATGAAAGAAGCAGAGAAACTCAAACGGCTCTGTCTGAGTAATATCCTTACAATGAGACTGCAGGTGTCCTTTTCTGTTGCTGAGGACCCACAGTGAACGCTGCCTTAAATCATTTGCAACACGTCAGCATTTATACCATTACAGCGTTCATATACTGCCATCTTTTGGTTCCAGTTGAAACTGTACCCCTGCATCATAAATCTTTGAAGATGTTTTGCACTAACAGGTAGGCCTATTCCCTTTCAAAAGACTAATACAGTTCATAAAGTTGACTGTCCATCAATTTTTATTAAATACTTACTAAAAAAATGTGCAAAAAAGTCTGAAATTAATGCTCTTAGTTTTCATTCAAGATTAATTTCTAAGCATATTTAACTTTGTTTGATAGAACAGCTTTGGGAAGATAGGAAATGCAGGTTCAGAGTGGGGGATGACATGCACACAAAACAGAGGTCGGGAGTCTGTTCCATGGGCTCTGTACATGGGGCACCCACTTCACCAACAATGCCAAACCAGCCCCCTAAATGCAGCTATTGTTAAACAAAAAGGACTTATTTTGAGGAATTTGAAATATTTGAATTTTTTTTCATCACTGAATTGCAGAGCCGGCCCAAGGCGTAAGCAAACTAAGTGCCTGCTTAGGGCCCCGCGGCCAGTGGGGGGCTCACAAGAGCAATCAAAAAATAATAATATTTTTTTATTTTTTGCATGTATAAGTGATGCTTTATGTACGATCAAATATATTACATATATGTAAAAATAAAATAAAGTGAAAACATTTTAGTGCTGCTGCTGATGTAGGCCTATGATTCTTACAGCCGATACGTCAAAGCTCCGCTACCGTTATGTGCCTTCTGCTGTGTAATATGCACTAAGCATCCTGAATGTGTTACATTTTGAGATTAAAAACCATATGCGGCACCCTGAATATCATTCATCAGTCATTCATTTTGGTACTATTGATGTTATCACCTAGGCCACCCCCTTAAATGTGTAAAGACATGTCAGGCGCATTACATTTATACTGTAGTAGGTGTGTAAATGATCAATAATCAATATTTTTGAGAGAAATAGAGGGCCCCAAATCAAATTTTGCTTAGGACCCCATTGAGGCTTGGGCCGGCTCTGCTGAAATGAGAATACAAATAAATATCTCCTTCCACAACACATTACTGAGCACCTTAAATTGTTTGTTTATTTATTATCCCATCTGTATATTTTGCATTTCATATTTATTACTCATTTCATACTAGTACTAGCAGTGGATAGCCCACTTTTTTCATATCTCACTTTTTTTCTCCTAGGATGTTTATTATATTTAGTCTGTATTTATTGTATATATTTAGTATATTTAGTCTGTATTGTAAATACTTCTTATATTTAGTTTTATTTTGTGTTTTTATTGCTGCTGTAACATGGGAATTTCCCAGTTTGGTATCTATCTATCTATCTATCCATCTATCTATCTGAAAAGATAAACAGATAAATAAAAACAGAAAACTACGATCTCTTTGTGATTAATTTTCGTAAGAATACACAACAAAAGTGACTCATAAATTCAGTTTATTTTGCTGCAGCACCAATTCACATGAATAACAAAAGATGAGAGGAAATTGCTCCTTGTGTCTGACAGCCTGTAGCCTTTGCCCGCAGTATGGTTTCAAAGAGGACCAAAGGCGAAAAGTATTCTCAAAAGGATTTTTTCCCCTCTTGGCGCTCCATACTTGAGGAACGCGTCTCCGTTGATGACGTACGTTACGCAAAGTCGTTCAATACTCACATTAGCGAGCTTTATCATTGTGAACTGAATAATATGCATTTCAATATAAGATAGTCGTAATTCAAATGTTCGCACTTTGAACCTGTTGGTATCGTCTTTCACACGTCTACGTTTGGACGAAAATGACCGATGTGGCAGATTCCCTGACCAAAGAGGGCTGGTAGGTAGCATGGTGGCTCAGTTAGCTCACTGAGGTGACAGATTGGGGCTTTTGCTCACAGGACGAGCTAATCATTAGCAGAGTCTGAGCGATATTGTTCACAGAAGTTTGCCATATATCGCAGGGTGATATTCAAATGGGCTTTGGTAGCCATTAGTTTGATTAAGGCGGAATTAAAGCTGAGAAAACTGAGAGTTAGCGCGAATGAATAGAGTTGATTAGCTCATCCACATTTGTCGTTAGCATTTTATCAACATAAGGCGCAAGGCTGAGTTACTGTTGACGCTCGATTAACGTCAAATCAAACCGAAACGTGAGGTTTGAGGCTGGAATAGTAGCACTGGCCTCTGCAAAACACATAAATAACATTAATTTTGACACCAGACCTACCTAACAACATACTCTCACCTTTATCTACAATATTAAAGATCGAAATAAGAGTGACCATCATTAACTATCAATGAGATTTCCTCTGCCAGTGAAATAATCCAGTCTACAGGGGAACACTATTTCATTGCATTTGGCAGTGTAGAATAGTTATTAAATTCAGGGAAGAGATTAAAGTCATAATCAAAAAGATTGTTTCAAAATAAATTTTATTGGATCCTAAGCTTTTCTTGTTGGGCCTTTATCCACAGAAACATAACTACACCAAGTATGAAAAAGCATTTAGAGATCTAAATTTATTAAATGCAAAAAAAGTGTATTGTGCTACTATGGAAATAGACCCATCAACCAAGTACCCGTCAGCTGTTAAAACAAATGTTATCAAGTTTACCGTTGGAAAGAATTACCTATATTCTGAAAGCCAAACAGCATATATTTGAAGATATATGGAAGTCCTTTATTGAATATGTCAAGAACTCAGGCTGTGTCTGATAAAATCACTCAATCCCTAACCCCTAACCCCCACATGGGGTTTCACTATATAGTTGACTATGTAGTGAGCTCAATCACCGGAGGTTTTGGACACTACATGGCAAGACGCAATGCATGATAGGTTGCCCGCCACCGGTGAGTGACCATCGGATGGTCACTACATTTTGCAATGCTTTATGGGAAAGTTTGAGTCGCCTATATGAGGCACTGGAATTGATCACTCAGGTTTAGGACACCCCTCAAAATGGCGCTAACCTCCATATAGTCACCTATATAGGGGTAAGGGATCCATTTTGGACACAGCCTCAGATTTAACAGAAAACCAAACTAATGACTAACTACTGTGGGTATGGCAGTCTCCAAAATTGTGAATGTTAATGTCTTTTCTTTGTTTTTTACTATTATGGTTATTATCATTATTATTATTGTTATTGTTTTTATGTATTTTTAAATATTTTCTCTCTCTTCTGTTATTTTTGAATGCCCGTAGCCTATCATCATCATCACCATTATGTCACAATTCATTACATTTGGTTTATAATCTGTCCTATAACAAGAGAAGCATATTGTTCGTTTTGTGTTTTTATTGTGATTGTTTTGTTTTGCAATGTGTTTTGTGGTACTTGGCAGCTAATCTATGAGAAATGACGTGCGGCCAGGGCTAGGCCATGCATGTCGCAATTGTTTGTACTGTGTTTGTCTTACGCTGCTACAAAACTCAGATAAAGATATTGTGGTAAAAAAAAAAAAAATCCAGTCAGGAATGTTAGTTTACACTTACAGCTTCTAACTCAGGACTTAATAAACAATGCTTCTGAGATAATCCTGTTTTTTTAGTACAGGAGTTAGTGTAACTGAAGATGTTGAGGCCTGATTTGATTCCATTTATATTGTTTTGTTTTTTAACAATTTCTATCTCCAGATGCTTTGAAATGTTTTGACATCCTCGACATTGCTTATTTAAACTAGCAATAACTTATATGTTTCTTCATTTACTCCTGTCTGTCATCCCACAGGTACCTCACTGATGAAGGCATAGCAGAGCTGAAAGGATCTGCAGAGAAAGTTACACACAATGACATTATTCGTATTGCACTTGATGTAAGTTTTAACCTTTGAAGTTTTGCACATGTATATTGAGAGTGTGCACGTTTGTGTTTATCTATGAGTGTGCAGATGGGATCTACTACTTAGGAAACACTGTAGTCATTGACTGAATAATAGTTATTACATCTGAGGCTTATACAAATGTGATTCTGTTAATATTTAAGAGCCAGTTACTGACTTATTCATTTGATAATGTGACCCGCAGTCGGCACACCCAGCAGCAGCTCCCCACATCTCCAGTTGCTACTAGTGAAGGATTATCTTGAATTTTTCATTCAACTATTTTCTGTACGAAGAATCAGAAGAGGCCAGCTAGTTGAATCCGTTTCAAGAAGATCTGTTTATTTGCCTTTTATAGCGTGACAGCACAGTGCATCTACTCTTATTTGCCTGTAAAGAAGAAAGAATTTTGGATACAAATCTACAGCATTCAGTAGTTGCATTAACTGCAAAAGTGTTAACTTTTGCTGTATAGTTTGGCCAAAATATCTCAGGTTACTCTTTGGCTTTTTCGAGTCCACATGGTCCAGTTTGCAGGACTTTCAATAATAAACTCTGGAACTTTAAACTGATACTGTTGTAAAAAGGGCCAGTCATGAATTAAATGTGATAACAGTAACAGCCAGTTACGGTAACACTTTACTTGACGCCTATCTCTATAACGCATTATAAATATATTTATAATGTGTTATATTCAGGTTATAGCTCTGAATAACTATAATTATGAACACTCGTAAATGATCATAATGGTTTGTAGCAATAATCATAGCACATTATAAAGCATTTTATCATGACTTACAAGGTCAGGTATTAAAATGTGTTAGAACTGTTAACAACTCACTGACAATGCCCACATAGATAATGCAATGCAACTGTTGTTAACAGTTGACCTGACCTTGTAAGTCATGATAAATGCTTTATAATGTGTTATGATTATTGCTATAAAGCATTATGATCATTTATGAGTGTTTATAACTATAGTTATACTGTAGTTATACAGTAATATATAGTAGTACAGTGCTATAACGTGATTATAACACATTATACATACATTGATAATGCGTTATAGCGATAGGCGTCAAGTAAAGTGTTACCCAACTTTCTTAACAATGGAGGCTGATGATGCAACATTGCTAAATAGTTGTAATATAATTATGTCTACTGGAAGACAATTAAAATATATATAAGTCCTGTGCAAATAACTTTTATGTCAGAAAAGTCAATAAGCCTAGTTACTATGTAAAAATGTGTGAAACAGATTAGCAAATACTTTTAAAAGCTGATTGTTACACATTTTTCAGTCGAAATATTTCATTTCAAAGTATATTCTTTATTACAGAGTGATCTCAGGCCTATTGGGAGGAAATTTCTTCCACCTGATATCAATAGCGGAAGAACTGAGAAGGTAAGTGCAACATTCTTGTATTTCAAAATTTCCCCTACATTTTTAAAAAGAGGGCAGTAATGTGCTAAGGTCACCTGTTCTGTGTTGTTCAAAGTCAGTGCAGGCCAAAGTGCAGTTTTCATGACTGCCACTAGATGTCCCTAACACACTGACAATCAACACACACAAAAACTGCTACCTCACCTTTAAAACTGGAGGGGAGAAATGTCTCAAGTATTTGTAGAGGAATAAAACAAGTAATCTAGAGTGACATAAAGCGTTTCTTCCTCCAAGTTAAAAACAAGATGCACATTGATGTCAACCTAGTCTCACACTCTGCCTTGTATTGTTTGTATCTAACAAATAAAATGGTCCCTTATGATCTGTGGATACAAGAAATTATACAAGGCATAAGGTAAATCTGTGGAAACAGAAGTATGCAAAAAAATAAGATAATATTCAAAATTTTAGTTGAGAACTAGTTTTGTGCAGCCAGCCTCATACGTTTCTCGTAGATGCTTTTGCAATCCCTCTCCCACATACACTTGAATTGCCTTTCTGTTCCCTTGTTGTTACTTGTGTGTCGCTAGTTGGAGGGACCATGTGTTCTCCAGGTGCAGAAGGTGAGGAACATCTCAGCCCCTAAAGACCACGAGGAGTCCCAGGGTGCACCAAGAATGCTGCGACTACAAATGACAGATGGGCATACCACCTGTGTTGGATTGGAGTTTAAACACCTGTCCAAGATCAGGTACCTATATGATAGCTTTGCTGTAGCCTTAGTGTGAGTGCAATGAGAGTTTTATGTCTTAAGAAGTTTAATTTTCACTATTCAATATTTCAAAAAGAGATGATTGAACAGTATGCTACAAAGATGCAACCTTAAAGCAAGCAATTAAGATAGTTTCTCATTTATGTAGAGTGAATTAGTCAGACTCTTCACACGCCCTTCGTCACCATCCTCTTGTCTTAACTCTTACCCCAGCACATGTTTCAGTTTCCTCTTTATCTGCATTTTCCACGTGGCAGCAGCTATCTAACAATATCCAGCCTTAATTACATCTCCATCCCAGCAACGGTGGCCTTGGTGACGGCTGCCATGGTGACTAGCCAGTCTGTACAGGTGGAGTGGCCAGAATGTGGGCCTTGACTTCCTGATGGGAGGGAGGAGAGAACAGAACAAATCCCCTCTTTATGAGCAGCACACACACACACACACACACACACACACACACACACACACACACACAGAGGCAGTGGCCACCAGCAGCGGTGGTTAGTGTGTCTAATGAAAGTGTCCGCTTAAGTGTGCGTGAGGCCATAAGTGAGTGTCAAAGAAGGATGGGATGGATTACAGGACTGTTCAGTGTATGTGAGACACTGATACAGCGGGATGACAATTAAGTATTATGAGCAGCATAAATCACAGGGTGAATAGTGTGTATGTAGGATTGTGTGTATATGTGATTGAATCAGGGGTAGACAGTGCCTCATTCTGTGCTGGCTGCTATCATGAGAACAGCATCCATCCCAGAGGTTTGGAGTGAAATCCCTAATTGTTGCTTTGGCATCCGGCATCAGTAGCTGGAAATCCCTCTAAGTCCCAGTGCTTTTTTAATGAGAGAGGCAGAGGCCTTATCAGGCCTGATGAGATAGAGGGGCTTTTAATTTACCATGAGGACGGGTGAGCAGCTGGGATTATTGATAGTCTCTCCTAGCCTCACCACCCGTCCCCTGGCACTGCTCCATGTCATTTATAAAGTGGTATGGGTAAAGCAATACAGTGTATGGCTTGGAAAATGTTGTAATATTGTCTTAATTCTTTAAATTTGTTCATAATCTATCTGATGGTTAAAATTTCAAGCATAATTATTTACAAATTTGTATTTTTTTATCTGTTTTCAGTCTCAATACTCCCCCTGGAACAAAGGTTAAACTCCTTGGTACAGTCCAGGTTAAAAATGGTCTTTTGCTGCTCGATGACTCGAAAATCTCTGTCCTCGGAGGCGAGGTTGATCACATGGTGGAGAAATGGGAACTACAAAGGGTGAGGTTGAGTTTATTGTGACGATTCAGCTACTTTGGCCAAGAAATATTGAATTCATTTGTTGGTAATCATTTCAAATCTGTATTAAAGGCCACCATCAGTCTGGCATTACCCTGCCTTGGATGGTATTGTCTCTCAGTAGTTAAGAATGATCTCCCTTTTTTACCATCCAACCCGCAGAGTCTGGCCAAACACAGCAGGAGTAACATTGGAGCAGAAGGTGGACCTCCTCCTTTTGTGCCATTTGGTCAGGTAAGGATAAAAATAATTGTCGCAGCGCAAAATAAAAAATGTGACTTCAGAAAGAAATAACCTATAAAACAAAATAAAAATATCGAACTAGCCAAAGTAGCATAATTGGGAATACGAATTTTTAAAGCCACCTCACTTGTATTATCGGTGGCCAGATGAAGCACTGCTCCTTGGAGTTAGCTTTCATGTTCTGTTTTTCAATTTTTTTTGTTTCCTCTTAAAAATTTGAGCGAGTTGCATGAGTCATCATTAATCTTCTTATGTTCCTTCCTTCCAAGAATATTTTCTTTGTTTTTCCTCTATGTGCAGGACTAGTTTTGTGTTTGAATCCTGATAAAATGTGGTACCCAGTTGAGGTGATGAGAAAGGATAAAATTATTCATAAGACAAAGCAAAGACTGCCAGAGTGCAGCATTAAATCTAAAAACACACACAACCATAACACTGACTAACCAGGCTGTCCATACAAAGTCTCTAGTTATAACTAAGTTTTAATGTAATATTTCAAAATCTTTCAGTTTTGTGCGTCACAACTGTATATAAAAGTAATTCAGACATGTCTCATTGTAAAGCTCCAGAGTCTGAGTCAGTAGTCCCTCAGAAGGATCACAGCCTCAGCCTGGTATACAGCTGTATCAGCTTGACACTCGGATTTTGAGATTTTCACTCAGTCTTCATTCCAGATTTGCTCAGGCTTTGTAGAGTTAGATGAAGAGCACTTGGGAATTATCATTCGGCATTCTTTTAATGCGGGGTCACTGAAGCAGCTTGGAAGTCTTCTTGTGGTTTTTATATACAAACATTGTCCTTTTCCGAGGTCATTTGCTCTCTGAGGGAGATACTCCTCAAATCTGAGGCTGGAGTTTTATTTGCTCTACGTATTTAGTCAGTTGGTTCCATGTGTTGAAGTTTCTGCTACTCAGAAGCATTCTCACAGTATGGAGCTGTCACCACCAGGTTTCACAGCAGCGTTTATATAGCGGAGATTAGTTTTCACCAGACTTTGTCATATTATGACATTTGTTCCCCCAAAGAGTCGAACTTATTCACATCTCGCCACACAAGAACATTATTTCCCAGACGCCTTGAGTTTGAAATATTTACACAAGTGACATAGTTTTACTTTCTAAACTTAACAATAATGGAAGAAAACAGCATGCAACTCCAGTCATCATATTTACATGAATTACCCCTTTACCTCTTGGCATACAGATATGTTTGCTTTCATCTACTCTTATCCTCCAGGCTCAATTTGTGGTTAGCTAATGCCTTGGTTCGCCTTGCTAATGTACAAAGGTATTAAAAAGCTGTTAATAGAGCATCAATTGAATGCTTTGTCAGTCATAAACCTTCAGTTTATGTCACATCAGCTTTCTGCAACAGGATATAGCTGTGTTTTCAACATGATTGGTTTGAAGGAAAAAACACAAAGCAGTAAAATTATTCTATAAAATTACAAAAAACAAAGATGGATGAACATCAACTGTCTGTTCTCTGTGAAGGCGTGTGTATGTGTGGTTATATTATAGCAGTCTGGTGTCAGGTGAAAGTGATTAAATGCAGGTAAACGTGGAGGACAGTCATGCGTGATGGCGCTATGCTCTGGCACGGCCCCTCTCAAAGCGGAAGGTGAAGATTTATGAACTTATCTGTCAGGTGACTGCGAGGGTTTAATGGACTGGAGGAGAAGCTTTTCATACAGTATAAAGCAGCTGTGGAGCACTGATATGGTCAAAATCTATCACAATCTCTTGATTCAAAGCACTTCTTCTGTATTCAGATAAGCAATTTTCTGCATCCGATGGTGAGGACTTCTGAGCAAATTGATGAAAAACTTAAACCGCTAATTTATTCTGTTTTCATTGCATATTTGCTGCATTTAGCTGTGTATTGTTTGCTTTTATTGATAAAATGATAATAATTCGACACGATTCTTCAAATTAATACAGGCATAAAACTTTTGTTTCAATATAACACATACGACTCCTTTAAAAAAGCAAACCTCCCACTTATTTGCACCTCTTTTTTGCACCATGCACTCTCTGCTGAGCGAGAAACTACCCCACACATGAAAAAAGGCAAATTTTAAAGGAGTTAGCTGCCCTCTTTATTGTTAAGACTGTATCAACCACCCGCTTTTTCCTCTCATTAGATATGTAAGAGTTGGCTTTATAATTGGACGACTGCCTGTGATCCAGTCAGTTGCTGTTTTCTCTGACTTCCTAGAATCTCACCAAAGCTGCAGGATGTGTTTGGGTTCTATATTATTCCTTGGAAGTCTCTACTGTGGTTTAACACTTTCCAAATAAATGGGAGCTCGGAGGTAGTTGTGGGAATTGTGATACTTTTTGGTGCGTCTACAAAAAACTCCAAGTTTAACTTAAACACTGCAGGTTACTTTATCCTGAACTTAATATCATTCCAAAAAATGTGGAAACTGTCAGGTGCATTGATTCTTTTCTAAAGGAACTATACATGATTGATGAGAGTCTTTGATAATATATTCTCTCTCAATTTGCTCCCTGTAGAAGTGCGCAAGGAGGGATGAAGTAGACAGCAGAGAACTCGACCAGAGGAAGACCCTGCAGACTCACAGTGTGATCAAAAGTCCAGACGAGAATGATGAGTTTGAGAAGCAGCGAACTGCAGCGATTGCTGAAGTGGCCAAGACTAAAGAGGTATGTAAATCCTTATCACGAGTTTGTTTCCTGAATACATCCTGGTTTTTAATTATATTATTGAGCGACTTCAACTGGATGTTTAGCTTTCAAGGCAACTCTTGCTTTATTAATTACTTTTTATGTCTCTTTCACTCATTGCAATCTTTGCTCAAACTGTTTCATCTGGCTTGTATGAAAAAAACACATGCATCTTATTGACTTTCACAACCCTTATCCCCTCTTAATATTCAAGTAACTCTTCAGGAAAACTTATTTCAGCGTTGCCAATCACAAAGTCCTGTTGTGTTTGATTTGTTTTGTTCGACTGTGCAGTTCTATTGATCTTCAAGTTCTCTGCCTTGTTAGGGTCCCCGCACGTTCGGTGGTGGAGGAAATGCCGGTAGTAATTTATCCAGTACTGCTTCTTCCTCCCGGAGCCGAGATTCGTACCAGCAGAGGAGACGAGAAGACAGGGTGGAGAGAACAGACAGCAGACAAGATGGAAACTATCGAGAGCTGGTGAGAAGACAAACTAGGTCCAAACCAAGTTAGTTATGACTTAAACCTGTCATTACTAAAGCCTCCATTCACTGTAACAAAGCAATTTAAAGGTTGGAACTTGTTATGTGCTCTTTCTTTGGGCTGGATTAGAGTCTTATTTCATGGCTCATAGACTTCACGGGGCAATGATTATGATATTGGAGAAATCTAAATGAATTGGAGGCTTGGTCAGGTTTTCCAATCAAGTGGCAGTCCACTCGTCTAGCTTTTATGTAGTGGCATGCCAGTTTCTAGCAGAACTTGGCCAACTTTTAGCTGAGCACATTAATAGGATAGAGAGGGACATTGTGGTGTTGGCTTTGGAATATGTGAATGGCGGTTTGAAACTTGAATGCACGCTAATCCAACTTAAGACGAAAGCCTGTTTTTCCCATGTCTTGCCATTTAAAACGGGACATAAACCTCTTTCTCCCCATTTTATATCAAATACCGTAAATTCCAGAGTATGAGTAACACTCAAATTCAGGGTTCTCAGTCCAACAGAGATGGCTCACACAGCGACTGCTTTCCTTCAACAAAAAGGACACTGGGGTTTAGGTGAGCTTGCATCTGTGACTAACTCAGTTCATCCAGTCTAGTTGAGTGTTAAAAGTGATTTATTGTTTAAAAAAAGGAAAGAAAACACCCTGATCCAGGTGCAAAACTTTTGCCTTCAAATGAAAAAGTGATATGATGAAATAAGGTTAAAACAGGATAAGTGAAACATCAACAGAAAGTTATCAGAGCTTACCAAAAACCCATTGTCTGACTACACCGGTGATATTTTAATAGCCCGCCAAACATCCCAAAACCACACCCCTCAGTGTTGATCCCCAGAAGTGACATACCTAGTAGAAATCATGCTCAACAAATACATTGGGCTAGATCACTATGGTAACTTACGCTGAACCTGTCACATTCTTACCTATCCCCATATCTTTGGTGTACAATTTGTCTTCCGTCTTTGTTTATCCTCCTGTTTTTGTCGTCATGTAGGTGGATGAACGGGCTCTCAGAGACATCATGGAGATGGGCTTTAACAGAGAGGCCGCCCGGCAGGCCCTCATGGACAACAACAACAACCTTGAAGTGGCACTAAACAGCTTGTTGACTGGTTCCTCTGGTGGCAGACCTGGACCTGTTGTAGCTGAATCCAACAAGCCTCCACCCAGAGGTTCATACACACAAACACACACAAAGTTGCTGCCTGCTTTGACTTGAAAGACTGCCCCAAAGCCTTAGAACTTATTCCTTTTCTAGAGAGTAAGATTGAGATCAGAGGAGTAAAAATAGCCCACAGCCAAGTTAGGGTCCACAGTGGTGGTTTTGCTTGTTTTATTCCATTTGCTGCAAATTGTGTACAGACTTTACTGCTGACTAGTTCTCCCAAGCACACCTTTATTTTTTAGATTGATACTCCACCTGCAGCCATCGTTTTGTGTTTATTTTGGTACCGAAAAATCCACGAGTAGAAACTTGACACTTGCTCCATCATCCTGAAATACCTGCTGCCTTTTTTGTTTCCACAGCAGTGGCGGGGGCAATTTTTGAGGCCTTTGTTTTTGCTGCATACATCAATCATCAGAGTTAGGTCTGGAAAATTGACTTTTCCCAGTTCATCCTTTTCAAGTGCTTTTTAAGAGGCTCGACTGCTCACTTAGAGTAAAAGTACATTTTTTGAGTCAGATGGGTTCAGGTTTAGAAAAAACACTCTTTTTTTGCACCTGTGCTCACAGAAATGTCTTGTATACTGTGATTAAGTGTCATTTAACAACTTGTCTTAATTGGATTAATATAACCTTTTTTTTTATTCTTCTCAGCCAGAGGACGGGGAAGAGGCAGGTCAAGAAATGAGGATGAAGAAGAGGGAGCAGGGGGAAGGCCCTCTGGACCCAGCACTCTGTTTGACTTTCTGGAATCTAAGATGGGAGTTTTCTCAATCGATGGTGGGTGTAGTGGTCAAAACATCATTCCCAAAACATGCTCTCACTTCTTGTTTGATTTGTATAAGAAAAAATCTGGTTTCAGGACAGCTACATGATGGTATTTTGGCTTTTTCAGCCCTTTGGTAAGAAATGTGCCAGATAATAGCAGTATTCTGACATGGATGGAGCCATAATTGGAAAAAGACAGATGGCTTTCTGGCTATCTTGTGCACAAGAGGAATTAAGTTGTGTCCTTAAAATGCCTGAAAAGAGTGCCAGTATTCAGGACCAGTGCAGCACTGGGTTGTTGATAAATGAGTAAACTTTTTATGTGCAGAATATTCCAGTATTTCTCTCGGTTTGGCTTGGTGGTATGCTTTGGAGGTTTCATCAGTGATGGAAGAAAAGCATTCACTACTTGTAGCCCACAATTGATCTCATGATTGGTTCGCTGCCACCACACTGATCTTGTCTGCTTTCTTGTCTCAGAGCCAAAGAGCCAGGCACCTCAAAGACATAACGAGAGCAAAGCGAACTTCTCCAACCCGGACTTCTACTCCAAAGACACATCTCATAGCAAGTACCCATCTCATAATGAGCATAGGCAACAAAGGAACGACAGACCACCTCGATTCCACAGGGACACTGATTTCCCCAAACCTGGCCAGGATCCTCTTTCCAACTCTACAACCTCCCAAACATCAACTCAAGGCCAGCCTTGGAAGGGCCAGGAGCGATGGTCCCGAGGTGCATCGGATAGATCACAAACTGACAGGAAGGAGATTCGTAATGAGCAGAATTTTCCCTCATCCTTTCCAACTACTTTTACACGTTCGAAAGAACCTCAGCAGCAGGTGGATTTAAGTGGGTCTTTCCACCAACGATCCAGAAATGGAGACGGTAGTGGTGCTGGAAGTGGTGGAAACATGTCTGGACCTCCCCAGAGGAGAGGGGGGAAAGATAACGCACCTACACCTAAAATTAGTAACTCTGCGAGCAGTGAGCTGGATGGAAGAGGAAATAATAAACGTACAGACAGAATTGAAGAACCCAACAACGGCAGGAGGACGGGCAAAAGTGAGCGGCCAAACTCAGGCCACTTTGACAGACAGAGGGACGGTGGACCAGCAAACTTTAACTACAGGGGTGGGAGCTCAGGGACACCCAAAGACATGGGGTCATCACAAGATTCCCGAATCATGACAGGGGCTCCCACTCATTTCCATAATGGAGACATGGAACACAAAAGAACTGGACCAATCAAGCCAGCAAATTCATTTGGACCCCCGAATAAAGAGCAGCCGCCCAAGAAAAACACGTCGAATAACCCTGGACCTAAAAGAAGGTCTGGTCAGGGCAGAGGGCAAGGTCCTCGAGGACCAGAGAAAGGTCATTTTGTGGAACGAGGCTGGAAGCCTGGAGACGAGTGCCTGGCACTATATTGGGAAGATGGCAAGGTATGAGATCCCTGTAATGAAAAGACTTGAAGTAGCTGCTAATTGCTGGTTTCAGTTTCATTTTTGTCAGTGAAAGCGCTGAAATTAAACCAGTAACTCATGGAGACTCATAATACAACATGAAAACTTAATCCACTTAATGAAAGCTGAGACCGAAAGACTTTGCATTTAAAGTAAACTGAATCTGTTTAATTCATAATCCTGACAGGCCTTCTGTGATTCCAGTAATGTCAGATGTTTCCCTTTTTTCTTTATAGAAGAACTTTTCTCAATTCCCATACTCAATAATATCAAAGTATGACGAGGGCACATGTAACTAAATACCCTGTCAGGGAAATGCCAGAATGTGTTAGATTCGTTTATCATGTTATATTTATGTCTTTATATGAAGTGTGAAATTTCTGATATTCAGATAATTATATTTCCCTTTGTTTTTGTGTGTTTTCACCCGCATGAAGTTCTACCATGCCAGAATAGATGCTGTGCATTCATCAGGCTCCACTGCTGTGGTTGTATTCAGCGATTATGGAAACTGTGAAGAAGTCCTGCTGCATAACATCAAACCTGTTCCGGCTGATGTTATGGTAAGAAGGAAGAAAACCCTTCAATATCAGTAATAGTTGATTTTTAGCATCATAATGAGCCGTTGGTACTTATCGGAAATAAAACTGAATCAACCGTCATTCTGTGGGTCGAGGAAGCTTATGAATTATGAATGACTTCTAATCTGATTACCCACAGTAACTTCACAACCATATCAAATGTACAATGGCAGGAGGAAGATGACGGTTACTACGACAGTTCATTAGAGTTTCGTCGTGGGGGAGATGGACAACCGAGACGCTCTAGACCCACACAGCAGTATTACCAGCCACCCAGGGCACGGGATTGATGTGTCTGTGTTTACAGGTAAAAAAAGATTTGATTTTGTTAGGTTATTCTGTTCATAGAAAAGTTTTATTGATTACCTCTCTGTTCTTATTAAAGTGGGAGTTTCTGGCATCTATAACTTTAATATTTTCCAAAAACTGTCTTTTTATGGCAAAGTCAATTTTACATTTACAAAACTTGTCCAGCATGGTTAATCTTATTTAATTTTTCTGTTTTCTCCATCTATTAGTGTTCCGGTCCACCCCCTCCTTCCACGACAGAGATCCCGTCACTCTCTGCAACAATCCAGAGTGCTTCCCGAACCTTTAGGTGTCCACTTTGTCAGGACTATCAGAAGTTTTCAAAGGGCTTGGACATCATGCAAAACTGAAACAAAAAAAAAAACTGACATGAGCACCTGTGGATTTTACTAAGAACATATCTGCTGTATATGTTGTGAAGATTTGTTAAATGGATGCATAAAAATAAACAATTATAGTATGTAGCCGACTTGTTGTTTTTAGAGTGTTTTTATTTTGAATGATTGAATCAAAATGAAGAATAAACCAATCATGAGCAGTTAATGAAACTTTCTTTCTGCTTTCGAGTTCAAGGCAGTAATTTCATACTTGTCACATTTCCTTTCTCCATTCACTCTGGGTATGTAAAGTCAACGGCGGCGTTATAAGATCTGCCCTGCCTTATTTGCTAATTCATGTCTTGTAGCATACCTCCATCATTCTCCTCTTGTAGATAGGCACAGGCACTAGAGTCCACAGCAAGTAGCTTAAGCTCATTTGTCGTGTTCTGCGAAGCAAATCCAGAGGGTAAGACAATCTCTTCACCCTGTAATAGAGACGCTTACATTGCAGAGATATCATTTTGCACATTACAAAAGAGACTGTACCCAGCTCTTCAAGCATTGCACACACACCGCTGAGCTGGCGGTTCATGGACTACTGCTGTGCAAGAGACAAGTTTTACACATCAAGAAATAATGTCCACTTTGGCTCCAATTTCACTCCTACCAGCAGCAGGAGACAAATGGACAATGCCCCTGAGTTCACTTGAGAGGTCACAGTGCTATTCTGTATCATTGGCGCAAAGGATTTGCTTTATTTTCCAACTTAGGCGCCAGTGAGCAGAAATGAATAATTAACAGCCAGTAATATGGAAACCTATCTGCCAGAGAGGAACTGAAAGTGAGGCTCTTCAAAGTGCTCTCTGTGCTGACCATGACACATTGGCAAGATAATCATGAAGGATTGATTTTCAATCAGATAAACTGTGATATTCTGGAGGAGCTATCAAGGAAATTTCATACAGAATATATATTTTCAAAGCGTCAGGCATGGGAAAGATTTGACACAGGGCCCTGTTGTCCCTTATGTAGTTGTCAATTACAAAATTGTTGGTTTGTGATGAATAGAGAAAAAAGCTGTTAGGTTGTTGTATGAGAAAGAAATGCATTAAGTCAGGTAACCGTGTTAGTTGGACTCATCTGTGGGGTTCTGGACAGATAAGCCTTTCTAGACATGTTTTAAAGCTGCTGATGAAGCGATTAATAAAGCCACATTTAATCATTGTTACTGTAATGTTAGAATGACACATTGTTTGATTCTCTTAGGCTGTAGAAAGTAGGTGGACAGAGAGGGTTATATCTTGTTTTCCTAGTTGATTAAACCTTTTATTGATGACAAGGGTGAGTATAAACCCATCCGAACTTCATTTATATCTCTAGACCATCTGTTGGTAGACAATTCATTCATCTAGTTGCTGTGTCTACAAAACAATCTCATAGCCTGATTGGATTTTACATGAAAATATTAACTGTGGAAATGAAATGTGCTGGGTTATTTTGCAACATTTGACATGGCGGTGTTCAGTTTTGCAGGGATTATGGGAGGAAGTACAAGTGTACAAAAACACAACCGCAAATACCCTCAGGTCATGACTCACTTATGAGATAATGAGTCTAAGATGATTTGAAGCTTTAGGCCTACGTTTTCTGCCTTGTTCATTTTTGTCCCACAGCCAACTGGCTGACATGCAGAGACAGGCTTATCTGTACAATAAATCAATAGTTCCTGTGGATGATGTAATAATATTAATGTCATTTTTTAGTGCTGGAAGGAGGATCATCAAGACGCTCACAATAACATTTCTACAGCTCTAACGCTGGGTGGATAATCAGAGGGCCATCTTAATGTGTTGTTTTAGCATTAAACAGTTTTTTCCTAGAAGGGAGAAAAGCCAAGGTCGAAAAAACACCGGTTTTGAGGGTTGGTTGTCAACATTCAAAGAAAAAGTGTTGATAGCATGACACTTGAAAGTCAAGAGATCACCCCTGTGATCTTAAAATGTTTAAAAGTGATAGTGAATCCAAATTTCATGGAAAAGTATTCAAAGGTTTTTGAAGTTTTGGACTTTAAACAACAATCTTCAATGTAAAAATGGAGCGACACCAAAGTGGGTGAATTTTGCCTCTGGTTAACAAAACTTTAGCTACACCTCTGCTAATCCAGACAATAGCCAAAAAGCACCAGCAGAGCAGTGTTTCTAAAGCAAAGATGCAGGTTTATTTAGAATAGGATGTGACTAATGCATTGGAAATAAGCTGGCCCCTCTCTGCATCACCTTTTCCAGGCCTCTTTAAACCTGCAACTTGATAACCTTTAGCCACAGGAGGAATGCTTTTATCTACTCGAGGGGGAACAACCTCCTTTCCCACATTAACATCCCTTTTGCTCTGCCCCTTCGTTTCCCACCTGCTTTCCTCTCCCTGTATCCCCATTCACAGCTGTTTGCCATTATCTTGCGAAAGTACCTGACCCCTCAACCTCCATCTTTCCACCATGGTACCTTTGTGGCAGCGACATCTGAACCCTGTGATCCTGTTAAATGTGTCCTTTCTTATATAATTTCTACATCAGCCTCGACAGCCAAATCCTTTCTCTGCCTCTCACAGTTGAGGAAAGAGGAGACCTAAAAGGCCGTATAGTGGGAATGACTTTCCTTGCAAGTGTATTTAGTGCCCAGTTAAACGGAAAGAAGGGATATCCCAGAAAAAAAAGAAGGGGCTCTTTTCAGTAATTAAAGCAAGTTAATCATAAGGCTTAATATACGGCTCAATATGTAGTAACACACACTATGAGTCGCTGCTTTTCATTTCTATTCTGACCCTGAGTGAGTGGTGAAACACGATGACTCTCTCTTGATTCCTGCCTTATAAAAAGAGGGGGAAGGAAGGAAATGACAGCTTAATATCTCTTAAAAAGATTAAATAACCCAGAAAACTGTAAACACAGGATATTAAACAAGTTTCAATCACTTGATGTTGTGTTTGCGTGGTGATGTCATTCCTCTTTTTCAAAGTTGTTGGAGGCTTAGGGTCGATGTTTGCATGTGGATCAAAGAATTTAAAGTCTAACCACCATCTGGTGGATGGCTTCACCACTAACATGCAAAACTAGTGTTGTCGTGTGCACGCTTTGTCAGGATCTCTAAACAAATGTAATTTGTAATGCAAAGCCTGACACTCACTCATATGGTTGAAATCATAACAGCCGTTGTGTTGGAATAGACACTTCAACGTTTTTGCATACAATCCACCGCACTTTTGCCTGACACAGAGCAGGATAGTAGACTGAATCTAAATTTTGTTCCAGGTGTGATTGTCTTTGTGCTCGATGGAAAACTGAATTTATAGTTTCTATTTCCAATGACACATGGCTGTTGCGAACTCTCAGACTTCTAGGTTATAAGCTTGAACTGCTGCTGAGAGGCTCAACACTTAATGAGCAAGATAGGTGCTGCTTGTCAGTGGTAATGGCTGTTTTTACCGTGCAGCAGACCGTGGTCCGCGTGGGTCATTCCTCAAACATCCTGCCAACATTTGTTGCCAAGCACCCCTTGTGTTACTCATAACACATGACAAAATAATGGTCAAATGGGGCCAGTTAGCTTGACCAAAGACAGTATGGACTGAGGGTGAATGATGAATCAGCAGCTGGGAATTGATCTTTACCATTACCACATATAGGTTTACACAGCAGAGCAGAAGTAGAGTAAAGCACCTCTCAGTCACTTTTATGGACCCTGTCCGGTTGCACTTAATGGCTACACGCCACATGAGAAAGAGGAACTGTTGAGCTTAGCTACTGTGCTGCCTTTTTATTTTTATTTTTTAGCTTTGCAATTGCTGCTGCAAGCTAACCTAAAAAGTGTCAAGTTCACAATGCCATCTGTATGTCCCTGAAGCTAAGTATCTTAAAAACAAACCTCCCCCCTCTGTAGCATCCAAGATTTTAATCTGTTGTCTCTGTGTTTGCTGATGTGAGGTACGATCACGTTTCTTTCACTGATTGAATGATGCTTCATGCATCTTTAGCATAGCTGTGGGTCACAACACGTTGTTAAACACATCAGCTTTGGCTTACAGAGCTGGTCACGCTGTCTGTTGGACTGACCCCAAATAGGGCATAAACAACCTTTGAAGAGCCTCTAGTGATGGCATCTGGCAGTTAACATAAATTACCGGAGAGACAGGAGTGGTCTGTAGCTGAAACTTTGGTTGGGAGTTTGGAACTTTACTCTTTTAATGACAGGGTTTTTTGTCTTTTTCTTTTCTTTCTTCCTTATTTTTTTTGTCCAGAGAGTGGTTGTTTGTTTGTCTGGTTAAAAACTCAGACTCTGCATCCATTAAATAAAGTATTTCCTTGTACATTTATTAATATGCTGTTGCAAAAACCCATTTAATATGAGCCAAACTGAAATGTATTTGCACAGAGACAATTTAACCCCATATTCTCATTTAAATTTCTATAAAATTCCTCCTCTCCTTTATACTTTGGTTAGGACTGATCAGAATGAACATGTTTATGAGAATGTAAAATATTCTGCAAACATTGCAGTGAGGTTGTCTTTATTTGCAAAGAAATACACTTTCTTGCATTGGACAACAGGCATCACACACATAGCTAAGTGGAAGTGAGGCATTATTGATATGATAAGCCTGCTTTGCAAATTTAATGTGCAAATTCAGTGTTCTCTTTCACACCTATCAATAATGAGATGTGGAATTAGCCTCTTGTTTCAGGAGTGAAGTCAACATGGCAGTGACAGAGGGTAACTCCAGTAGTGTAACAAGTTTAAAGTCCCCATTTCTGGTTTCAAGTCCTCTCCTATACTCCATGATATGAGCTGTTCAAATGATGGCCCCATTGACAGGAAGAATGACCACAAAGCAGGCTACGCTTAAAGGCATAGTTACCTGCGAATGACTAGTTTCTAAAAGGTAATCTTTCAATCAGGACAGAGGCAAGGCAGAGCATCAGATCCATCATCCAAATATGGTCACTCCTGACAACAAAATAAATCTCCATCACTTGGCTGCAATAACAGATTCCAGCCAGTCAGCCAACCCGTGGGTCATTTCCTGAAATCCTGTTGGCTTTCTCTTCACCTTGAATTCAGTTTGTGCCCACACAGCCTTCAGGTGGAAAAGAAAGAAAGACAAAGAATAAACATGGACATAATAAGAAATTGTGGACCTTGACCAATATAAAACTTAATGATATTTATTTGAAAATAAACTCTGATTAATCTTACCCCGTTTTACTCATTTGGCCTTGAAATTGGATGAATACCAAGAGGTATTAAAGAAATCTTGTATGTTACAGAGAAAGATAGAAAGACTGTCTGGTCTGTCAGGCTGGTCAGATGCCAAAACAGGCCCTTAGCCTTGAGTTATGTCTTAAGCCTCTGGTTCCATAACTTTCCTAATTAGGCAATTACTGTATGTTGTGGAGGCAGTGAGATGTGAAGCATGGATCTACTTTTGACCCAGAGGGTAAGGGGACTGTTTGACTTGTTGGCTTTCTTCTTAGAAAAAGTCTAAAACCTGCAGACTATCTGTGATTTATACTTAATTTATTAACACATTTTTTTTAAATGATCCATCTGCATGAAAACTTTTGCAGAGACAGAAATATGAGGCTATAGGCTGCAAAGTTGTAACACATTAACTTTAAAGGATATAATGTTAAATTCGGTGAGCTTTTTGCTGGGATTGCATACCACTTTTTTAGTTCACAATGCGTCTTGGCCTGAGAGTTCTTCAATAGGTCTCAGGAGGACAATCGATCAATCAATCTATCAATCAAACTGCATTTGTGTTGTGGTGAAGTTTATTTATGTCATACCACTACAGAGTCCAAAGTGTTTCACAAGTCAATAAAATGAAATAAATGACACAGACATACTTAAATCAATAAGGAGACACCAACACATCAATTGCAGGCCGTCTTTACTAATAGGATTTCAGACACTTTGAAACCAGCCCTGTAAAACTGCCCTGGATCCCAAAGGCTGATGCATAAAACCTTTCTCAGGCCTGGTCTTAAATTTTCAAAACAAACCAATGAGCTCCAGGGTAATAGCTCTGTCTGTGTAGAATAATGGATTCCAGTTATAAACTAATGTATTGTAATCAACAGACTGATGAATTTGATCCTGTAAGCACTGAGGGTGGCAAGAATGTGATACTTGAAACCCAGTGAATAAATACTGTAATGCAATCTAATGTAACACTAATAAATATTAATTTTGTGTCATTTAACACTGCTGTATTTTAGGATCTATTTTTAATGCATTTGATTGTACAGTGTTGCCAAAGGTTATGGATGTCACTGCCTCTATATCCATGTGAATGAGTAGAACATTAAATCATATTGATATTATGCAGAATAGCCCTAAGATGTACAACAGTTGTACAGTTTGTGCCATAGTGTTTTGGGAAACCTTACTCAGGGGATTTGGCAATCAAAGAACAGAGCAGCATTTTGCAGTTCTCCTATCTTTAGTGGACGGTGCAGATTCACATTTTCTGTTTCAGTTTCCCTCCATAAAATCCAGCTTTGCCAGTATAAAGCATGCACAATCACCAAATTAGGGTCCAGTATGTTATCTGTGTTCATTGCAGCTTAATTTGTCCAATGAAATACCTAAAATCCCTTAAATCCAGGGATTAACCTGTGGACAGTTGAGATTTGCGTCACAGCCACACATCAATGATCAACAGAGATGATGAGGGCCGTCAGCCTCCTCTTCCACCTAAGAGGCTTATATATCATGAAGGTTATTCATTTCTTCGTCTGTCTGGATATATGGATTTTATTGTACAATCATGAAGTATGAGGTGAAGGGCAAAGGTTTTTACTGGAGGGCTAAACAATAAAAAAAGATATGTCAGAGAAGGACAGTATTTTGTAATGAAAAAGTAAAGCTCCTATTAAAGCAAACATCACAGACTTGATTAAAAATTTCATCCAACTCTATATCCTACAAACAAAAGTGCTGTGCTTACATACACAATTTTTGAAGTCTAAGAATACTAAAGAAACATGTTGAGTTAGATAAAAATACAGATATTGAAAACACCTACTTAGTTGCTTCATGAACTTTTAACCTTTTTGTCCCATGGCCATACCATTTCATTTAACCTCGCAAAGCATTAAACAGCCGTAGCCAATTCAAAGCTTCAAAGTGCTTTTTGCCCTTCAAACTTTATACACGTTAATACTTGAGCCAGCTCTTTGCTAATCAGGAGGGTGTGAAATTGTTAAAACAGAGATGAAAGGTGAAGATGAGTTTAACCACAAACTCACTTCTCAGTAAAAAAAAGAGAAAAGGCCCACCCAAGTTTGCTCTGAGCTGTGCACTGAGAGTTGGTCAGTGGTCAGTATCTGGATAAGATAAAATTCAGTTGAAGACTAGTCAACATATTGTACAGAATAAAAATTACATCGGCCATAAAAATTATGAAAGATTTTAACAACTTGTTATATTTTGTTGCGTAGAAACTATGTGACACAATTTTCGGTGCCTTGGTTGTTCATGTGGTATTGTCTATTAGCGTTTATGCGTATATTGGCGAAAACCATGAACAGAGCAGGAGGTTAGCCAACAGCATTTAAGCCCCAAATATTTTCCCCAAAGTTTAGGATGTATCAGTGTAACTCTGTCTCAGTCACCCCCTTTAGTCTCTCTGACTGGACAGACAAAGTAATGAAGTAAGTTTCTTTGTGTGTGAAATGTCACTGCCCATTGTTCTGTCTGAACTGATGGGGGATGACGTGTGGCTAGTTGTTGTCATTCGTGTTTGTATTGTTCATTCAATCATCTCGTTTCAGTCTGCAAGTATGATAGCTTGCAGACTAGCTAGCTTGTGGACTGACGGACCACCATCTACTAAGGGGGCCCTGCAGGGATTAGTCTCTGGTTAGTTAGGAGAATTGAGTTGTCAAAATGATAATAAATAATAGATTATTAGCTTGCTAAGGTTAGCTGCAGTTAGCTCACACATGACTTTATTCTCGTAATGACTTAATTCTTGTAAGTAATGATTTTATTATGAGTTTATTCTCGTAAGTAATGATTTCATTATGAGTTTATTCTCATAAATAATGATTTTCCTATGACTTTATTCTCGTTAGTAATGACTTGAATCTCGAAGTCTTAATTTTTTTTCTCTTAATGTGGCCCTAATAGTCTGTCGTAAAAAGATGTAAAGAAATACATAGTGATTTAAAAACAAATTCTGTTCAAACTGTCTCAAAAATACTGCAAATTCCTAGCATACATGGGAACAAATCCCCTGAGGAGCATGCAAGTTTGGGCAAGGCCCCTGATATTAATGATATGTAGCTCCGCCCCTGGAAAAAGCGCGAACGTATTACGTAACGGCCGTGCGGCAGTCTCACCTCTGCTCTGAACTCACCTGGCTGTGATTAAATGTCAACCATTTCCCAGAAATAATACCGCTTTATGCATAAAGTGAGGCTAATTCGCTCTCAGGCGTTGCCTCAATCCTTCCAGTGGAACATATGGTCGGAGTAAAAACAAAGATGCTTGAAGCCTGATAAATGAGGCCGTGGTTAAAGGCCTTGGACGCCAACCTGACACGAAGGCCATGAAGCCTAAAAAGTTTGCCGTCACCCCGCTCACTCAAACGGCATCAAAGTAAAACAGCGACGATTGACCCCGGCCTGTTGGCTCTTCACTAACATTTATCAAGGATTACTGAGATGGATTTCAGACGAACTTTCACTCTGACTGCTGTAAAGACAAACATTGTGAAGCACCTTAACTCCAGTGATGTGTTTGGCCGGGTCAGCTGCTTGACAACTTCATGAAGGTAAGACCATGAAGCCTATTTATTATAATCAACTGCAGCTGCCTTGAAAACGTCTCCCATGTTTTTGAAGATTTAGAGTGATATTTGAAGTGCTCTTGTGATATAT